TTATCTAGAACCCCTTGCTTATGTGGTTCCTCCCTAGTTTCTCTCGAACACTAAGGATGTATTACCTAGGTATTTTCTCAAACCTTAAGAATCTCCTAAGGAATGTATACTCTCGTAGCTCCTACAACCTTAAGATATTAAGTTTCATAAACAAAACAAATTATAGAATATAAAAACAACCATTCATTGAAATAACACTTAAACATCCAAAATGAACTCCCACCAAATAGGATTAGTTCATGGTGGGGTTCGAAATAAACAAGCACAAAGCAAGTTTTATCTGTTCCTTACAACCCAAGTGATAAAATATTAAAGCAAATAACAAAGCGAAGGAGGAAAAGCCTTCGACATGTACTGCCGGAGCTTCCCTCGACCACCACGAACTGCCCCCAGTGAACTGGCTCCTTTCGGATGCCTAGAACGCCACTCCCTCAGGCTTGTCAAGGAGAAATGCCACAGTAATTAGGATTGACGAAGAAAGGTGAAACCTTCTCTCTCTAAATGTTTAAGCTCAAAACAGTGTGGAACCAAAGTCTTCTTTATTGTGGCTTCATCCTCTATTTATAGGGGAAAATTAACCCTAGGACTTGGTGTTGAAGTTCCTAGGATACCCCAAACTATCGTTAAATTACTTAGGGATCGGGTAGAACTGGCTATGATCCAACCTGGGTTGTTAGCTGAGTACCTGGCCTAATCCCGTTGCAGAAGCTCAAGGATAGATAGGATCTGCAGAGCAGGCAGCGCGGCCAGCAGGATCGGCTGTAGCAGCATCGATCCCTCCAGGCGGATCTTCGAGGAAGATTTCTCAGGTAGAGGTCACGTGAAAGTATGGGACAACTGGCTTCAAAAATATCTTCTTTCACTTTGTTGTTCTCAAAATGCTAATCTAACTCGGCATTTTCATTCTGCTCAGCAGTCTCCTTATGTCACGACATTTCCTTTCCTCTTTTCCTTGCTCTCAATTCCTGTACATAATTAGACAAGCACCTTTCCCATAAGGCAGCACTGATGACAAATTAAAATGCCACGGCATATCAAATTCCACCACAAGCAACTATATGCTCCTATATGCATCTACATGGTCCTAAATGAGCTCTTAGACATTCAATAACTTAAGTGAAAAGGTCCCAAAATATGACCTTTTTACGGAGTTATCACACCCCCAAACATAAGCTATTGCTTGTCCTCAAGCAGTGGATAGTATTAAGCAAAACAAAAATTCCATGACAAATTCAGAAACAAAATAGTTATATGGGATAAAATTTCAGCCCTCAGCACATTTGGCTTCAACATGCTAGACTTAAGTCGAGAAATCAAGTACTGTCCCCTAGGGTAAGATTCTTTGTGTGGGTGTGTGCGTGTTTGTATTCAGTCTATGCTTAACAAACCTAAAAATTTTCTAAGCAAGCTTTTTTAAATTTCCATTACATTTACAAATGTTTGCTCTCACCTTATTTTCTTTTCTTTCATTAATTCTGCTACGAGAGGAGTTAGCCCATCACTCTAGGTGAAAGGGAGCATACCTTCCACCCCCGAGTTAGTTAGGTAGAGTCATCCCGTGACTACTTTCATTCACTCATAAGCCATGGCATAGCGGAGTGTCCCTCTACAGATACGCCGAGGCATTTATTTATAACTTCACTCATTCATTTTTATTTTTTTTCATCAATTTTTTTATGTGGAGTTTTTATCATTCACAGTTTTATGCCACAACATTTAAGAATTCTTATAAAAAAATTCTAAGTTTCTTAAGCATGGAAAGCATACAATCGTGTATTCAGGAGTTTCAAAGAAGCAAGTCCTAGAGTTGGTTCTATCATCCTCAACCAGTCACGTACATTCTATCCTAGTCATCAAGAATTCATCATCATCGGGCATCCTTAACTAATTCCAGAAAACTATTCAAACACTTACTAATGTCATGGCATATTTAATTTACTAATACTAGCATGCAATGTGTTGAAAACCCTACCTCCCCCAAACTTAAGAGAAGCATTGTCCTCAATGCTTACTAAAACTAAGGAAAATGAAACTACATGCTATGAAATGCAATACAATGAAAGGTACCTCAACTTCATACTTATGGTGGTGCGGCGGTGGTGCGGCGGTCGTGCGACGTGTGCACTTTCACAGTTGTGTGGGGCTGGAGTGTTTCGAGTCAGATGCTGGCGCAGTAGGGGGAGTACTGGGGCCTTCTGGGACTATTGATTGTTTTGGCTCCTTACGCTTAGACACCTTCTTCAGTTAGCGTTGACTCATTCGCAAAGGGAATTTCTGTGGCATTTTCGATTGTGCTACATCGTGTGGCTCCGTGGGCTGTGGAATGAGCTCCATAAAGGCCATTGCCACATCCTCATCTCGTCGCTTGATATAGGCAAAGAAGGTAATCAGGTTGCTGGTCGGATTCGCCACTTGATCTTGGGTCTGCCTGGCCAGAAATATTTCAATTTGTCGTGGCATTTGTGCTTACAGGTGGACATCATCAGCAATGTCATCGTTTGTGCCATCACCAATTGAGTCTTCTTTATAAGTTTGGGGTGTGTGCTTTCTGAAACATCTCAAATTGTTATAGTATTTTTGTCTCGTTCGATTGGAGCACCAGTGTAGACCAAAATACCCCATACATGTAATAGTTCCACCTTCAAAATAGTTTGCCCTGGCATTTCGTGTCTTTCACATCTGAATTGTAGGACCTTTTTAGTAGCCCTATCTTCTTCAAATTGCTCTTTTCCTGAAGCTGAATGGTAGTGGAATAAGATCTCTTTTCGCTCATTTTTTCTGTGGCAACTTGAAATCATTTGGGCAGCAAATTCGTTGGAGAGGTCGAGGTCATCCCTATTCAAGTAGCTACCATGGTGTATGACCTTGTTCTTTCCTAGGCTAGTTAAGTAAGGAAGCAAAACAACACTAACGAGAAAATTGACAATGTTAGCATGCCTCAAAATTACCGCGTCAAATAATAATTTCTCATTAGGGAATTTTTCCTTAATCTCTATTTCATTCCTAATTCTTTTAAATTTCTAGCCTAGACAAATGATCAATCACTTGGGGTTTAAGATGAGTGAGTTCAACAGAATCTAAAGATTAAAATTTCATACATGGCAAAATTCTGCGGCAAAAGTTCAATGGGTAAGATAGACTGACTCATCTCCTTTGGACTATCCTTGAGCTCCTCTTTATCTTCTTCATCAAGCTTCAAGTGATTGTTAGTGCATAAAAATTTATTGCGGCAAAATTCTGCAGCTTTCCTGTGGTCATCAACTCCTACTAATGAGGGATTTTCTATTGTCATGGCAAAATATTTCTTGTCTTCATTGGCTGCACTCATCGAACCTTCATCATTGTTTTGAAGCGATTCTGAATCTTCATGCACCTTCAGATTTTCGTGCAAAATCTCATGACCGTGCTCTTCGAGTGTCTCCCAGCAAACTTAACATCTTTGTAGATTTTAATGCCACTCCTTAAGGTGAATTTACCACAATTCTCCCTATCTTGAGCCTTAATGACTTCAGTATCACTAGGTAGATTACCATATGAGCAAAAATGTAATACTGTGGCAATTTGGCCTACCTGACCCTCCAAGGCCCTCAAAGAAGAGTTGTAGCTTTGAAGCAAAACTTCTTGGATTTTTATAGAGGTTGCATGGTCATGCAGCATGAACTTCGTGATTGCTATAAAATCTTGCATTGTGGCCTCCAAAGAGCTTGTGTTTGATGAAGACGATACTCTCTCATTAAAATTATGCCATGGCATATTCGTTTGAAATCCCTAGGAGTCATTGAAGTTCTGCTGCCTAGCAGGCTGACAGCACTGCTGGTTCCTTGATTTCCCCAAGAGAAGTTTGGACGTTGGCACCATCCAAGATTGTTACAATAGGGGTTGTTGTTACCTCAATTATAGTTTTCTACATAGTTGATGGATATCATATTGGTCGAAAACTCGCTCTCATGGTGATTTCCATGGCATAATAGACATGCTGAGTTAGTTGCCTTTACTTCTTTCACTTCACTTGATTGTTGCAAATTCTTCAACGTATTGGTGATGGCAGAAAGTTGGACGGACACGGAATCCGTAGTATCCAACTCAAATGTCACAGGTGCTTTTCTCCCAACTCTAAGCCTTGAAGATGAAAAGTGATAATCATTGTTGGCAATCCTATCCAAAATGTCGAATGCCTCTGCTGGTGATATGTCAAGTAATGTCCCATTTACCGAGGCATCTAGTATCATCCTCATGGGTACATTAACTCTATTATAGAACATCACCACTTGCATCCAATCATGGAATCCATGATTGGGGCACTTGCGAAGCAAACTTTTGTATCGATCACAGCACTCATACATAGACTCTTCATCCCCTTGGTGAAAAGATGCTATGGTATTTATAAGATGGTTGTTCATATTGGGTTGATTATGCAGTAGCAAATTTTTTTTGCACAAGTCAGCCCAAGACCTTATCGAGCCGGAAAGTAATCCATTGAGCCATGCCCTGGTGTGATCTTTCAAAGAATATTGAAATAACTTCAATTTTAGTACATCTTCATGCACACCTTGTTGTTGAAAGGAGTCACAGACCTCCAAAAATGCTCGAACATGTTGTCTTGCATCCTCATGAGGAGCACCACAAAATTGTCCAATCAAGTCCAACATGTCAAACATAACTTGTTTGAGCTCGAATTGGGTTGCCTGAATATTGGGAGCTACAATATCAAGATCTAGGTCATCTATAATAGGGTTTAAGTGATCTCGAATAGTATGAGGCCTAGCTGCATTCCCATAATTCGAAATTGCCTCAAAATCCTGATATTTCTTTTGACCAATTCCTAGATTTCTGATCTGATACATGTTTGCTTGAGCACGTTGAGTACGTAAAATAAAAACCTGAAAAAGACAAGGAAAATAACAAGTAAAACTATACAAAAAAATTAACAAGTAAAATAAAGATGCTATGACAAAACTAATTAACTTCCAGTTGCCAACCCCGATAACGATGCCAAAAACTTGTCTGCTCTTTGTGAGTACTAAATATGGATGCGGATATATGTGCAAGTATACACAATTGAACAAGTAATACAGTGATAAGTGAGTATCGTCTCCACAGGGATTAGAGGAAATTTAACAAGTTTGTCAAACCACTTTACTCTGTCACCTAAGTAAAGTTAGTGATGCTATGTACAAATGATAATGCTGTGGTAAATTGAGATGTATGTTGTGGAAGTGGAATAGAAGTATGGTAGCAAATGGATATGTCGTGGAAAATTTAATTGTGTTAAGTGCAAACAATTGGATATGTTAAGGCAAAATGAAATGTAAATATACGATTTGATTAATAGGACTTTGTCTTTCTCACACGACAAGCTGCTACGGGAATGAGTGATAGGGAGTCACTAAGGAAAATCTAAGCCTACTTCTCAGAATGGTCTTCCTTCTATGCCTAGCCTGCCCGACAGAGTCTACTAAGGTACTCTATGCTATCTCTAGTAAGGGACTCGACAGATTGAAGATGCCATGGAAAAACCGATTGGCGTAAACCCTTGCAGTGATCCTATTGGTCCAGATAACAGGATATATCTCGGCAATACCTTTTTGCGGTAGCGTTAACATCTAACCTATCATTTACGCAAAACTCATTTTAGTCGAATGAAATCCTAGCCTTATCTCTTAGGTGGATTAGGCCTAGTTACTATCTAGAACCCCTTGCTTATGTGGTTCCTCCCTAGTTTCTCTCGAACACTAAGGATGTATTACCTAGGTATTCTCTTGAACCCTAAGAATCTCCTAAGGAATGGCTACTCTCATAGCTCCTACAACCTTAAGGCATTAAGTTTCATAAACAAAATAGATTATAACATATGAAAACAACCATTCATTGAAATAACACTTAAATATCCAAAATGAACTCCCACTAAATAGGATTAGTTCATGGTGGGGTTCGAAATAAACAAGTACAAAGAAAGTTTTATCCGTTCCTTACAACCCAAGTGATAAAATATTAAAGCAAATAACAAAGTGAATGAGGAAAAGCCTTCGACGTTCACAGCCGGAGCTTCCCTCAGCCACCACGAACTACCCCCAATGAATTGGCTCATCTCGGATGCCTAGAACGCCACTCCCTCAGGCTTGTCAAGGAGAAATACCACGACAAGTAGGATTGACGGAGAAAGGTAATACCTTCTCTCTCCAAATTTTTAAGCTCAAAACAACGTGGAACCTAAGTCTTCTTCATTGTGGCTTTATCCTCTATTTATAGAAGAAAATTAACCCTAGAACTTGGTGTTGAAGTTCCTAAGATACCCTAAACCATGGTTAAATTACTTGGGGATCGGGCAGAGCTGGCTATGATCTAGCCTGGGTTGCTGGCTGAGTACCCGACATAATCTTGTTGCAGAAGCTCAATGACAGACAGGATCTGCAGAGCAGGCGGCGTGGTCACAAGATCGGCTGTAGCAACGGTGATCCCTCCAGGCGGATCTTCGAGGCAGATTTCTCGGGCAGAGATCACGTGAAAGTAGGGGACTTCAAAAATATATTCTTTCACTTTGTTCGTTTTCAAAATGCCAATCCAACTCGGTATTTTCATTCTGCTCAGCAGTCTCCTTATGTCATGGCATTTACTTTCCTCTTTTCCTTAATCTCAATTCCTGCACATCATTAGACAAGCACCTTTCCCATAAGGCAGTACTGATGAAAAATTAAAATGTCGCTTCAAATCAAATTCTACCACATGCAACTATATGCTCCTAAATGCATCTACATGGTCCTAAATGAGCTCTTAGACATTCAACAACTTAAGTGAAAAGGTCCCAAAATATGATCTTTTTACGGAGTTATCAGTGGATAACACAGTTCCTACGTGATAAGGACGGGAGGCCATCTTTATTGATAAGGTAGATAACATGGTTCCTACGTGATGAGGACGGTTGGTTATCTAGGGGTGACACGGTTCCTACGTGATGAGGAGATCTGGTCGGTCGATCACTAATTCACTGCTTTAATAAGGTGATAGGTCTTCAAGATCCCGTTAAAAATTGTCATATGTCATGATTCCATGCTAGCAATATGCCCTAAAGATGATCTAAATGCATGTTTAACGGGATATGCACCGTTTGATCATGGCATTTGGGATCTTTCATGCTCTTTGATCAAAATATGTGAGATTTCTACATTTTCCAACATCTGAGTTTTGATTATGGTTACTTTTTTAACCTCTTGTTAAATATTCCTTGACGTGGTTTCTCTGATCTACCTCGAGAAAATTTATCTTGCCTTGTTGATTATTTAGCCACTGGTTGATTTTTTGAGAAAATTCGATCGTAATGGCATCTCCTTACTGTGCGTCTTTAAATTGGGACTTCTTTGCTTGAGAAATGTAAGGTTATGCTAAAACTGATTTAATCAATTTAAACCCTCCTTTTTCAAAGATATGCTTAATTATTTATGAAAGCTTGTCTTTGTATGTGCTCTCTAGTGAACACCTGTTTTGAAATCCACATACTCTAACACTTTTCAGAGTAAGGCATACTAATTGATATTGTTATTGATCAATAATTTGGTGAATATATATGCAAAGATAATGGATCAAATTCAAAAATTTCATTAAAAAGAGGCCATGAGAAAGTACAAACTTCTGTATCAAGGAACAAATAAAAATTACAAGAAGAATGAAAGACAAAACAGTGAATATCAAGTGTCGAGTCCTTCTATTTCCTCACCCCAAATTTTTCCTGAAAGTTGACATGTGCCTCAAAGATTCAGATCATACAAAAAAAGTGCAAGTATGAAAGTCTTTCCCTTAACTGTTAGGCTTCCGAGGGAATCTACCATTTCAAATCCTGAACATTCAAGTCGTCCACTACGGATTATCAACTCGAATCCAACTTTGGTTTCAAGATGCCCATTTTGGGTTTTCATCTTGATCCCTCCTTTATTTAATTTTCTTTTTCTTTTTTCTTTTTTCTTTTCCTTTTTTCTGTTTTCTTTTTTCATTTCCTTTTTTTTTCTTTTTTTCTTCATGTGTAATATCGTTTAACTGAATCAAAATTCACAGGATTAGGAAAATCTTCTCTATCCATTTCTACCAAAACCAAAGCTCCTCCAGAGAATGCCTTTTTACAATATAGGGACCTTCCCAGTTCGGCATCCACTTCCCTCAAAAGTCTTTTTTGCATAGGGAGGCTCCTTTTTAGTACCAAATCACCTTCATGAAATTCTCGAGGTCTAACCTTCTTGTCATAAGCTCGTATCATCTTTTTCTGGTACATCTGACTATGGAAAATAGCTCTCAACCTTTTTTCCTCAATCAAATTCAACTGATCAAATCTAATTTGTACCCAATCAGCCTCGTCAAGCTTCGATTCTATTAATACTCTCAGAGAAGGGATTTCCACCTCAACAGGTAAAACTACTTCCATCCCATATACCAAAGAGAATGTTGTTGCCCCAGTAGATGTACGAACAGATGTGCGATAAGCAAGCAGCGCAAAAGGTAACTTCTCATACCAGTCTTTATATGTTTTGGTTGCTTTTGTTATGATTTTCTTGATATTTTTATTTGCTACCTCTACTGCCCCTACCGCCCCCATTAATTTTTGGGCTGTAAGGAGCCGAGTTGTGATGTTTGATCTTCAACTTTGTGCAGACTTCCTTCATTAAATCATTGTTTAGATTCATCGCATTATCTGTGGTGGTCCTTTATGGTGTTCCATATCTACAAATAATTTCTCTTTTTAGGAATCTGTAAACTACTCCTTTTGTGACATTAGAGTATGAGGCAACTTCGACCCATTTGGTGAAGTAGTCAATGGCCACTAAAATAAAATGATGTTCATTTGAAGCCTTTGGTGATATTGCCCCAATGACATCGATGCCCCACATTGAAAATGGCCAAGGCAAGTTTATTACATGGAGTGGTGAAGGAGGAACACGTATTTTATTATCATGGATCTGGCATTTATGAAAAAATATTCCCATCGAGGACATACCCCATTGCCAATCTTCTTAAAGTTCGTTTGTCAGTCTCAGTTGCCTCAGCTTAGTAAGCCTGATACTTCACATAATGGAGAATATCATAATACCATGGGAGACCATCCTCCTCTTCTTCCTCAATGTTGCAAAAATAAGCTGGCATTTCTCTTATACTCATTCGAATAGGCATCATTCTAGATTGATCATCGGCCTTAAACATAGCTGCCAACGTAGCCAAGGCATCTGCCATTTGATTTTCTTCACGGAGAAGATAAGTAAAAGAAATTTCTTCAAACTCTTTGATCAACTCCATCACCAAGTTCTTATATTCTATCAATTTGGAGTCTTGAGTCATCCATTCCCCGCGAAGTTGATAAATAACCAAAGCAGAATTGCCAAATACTTCCAAGCTTTTAATTTTGTGCTCAATTGCAGCTTGAATACCCATGATACATTCTTCATATTCTGCCATGTTGTTTGTGCATTCAAAGGGGAGCCTAATACTAAAAGGATAATGATCTCCTTCCGGTAAAAGTAGTATTGCCCAATTCCATGTCCCACAACATTCGAGGCACCATCAAAATTCATTTTCCAGGCTTCATTTTTCAGAGCATCTTCTTCAGCAGCAAATATATTCATTAAGTCCTCATTCGGAAAATCAAATTTTACTGGATCATGGTTTTCTAATGCTTTGCTTGCCAGGAAGTCAACAATAACACTTCCTTTGATTGCTTTCTGATTCATATAGACTATATCAAATTTGGACAATAGCATTTGCCATATCGTCATCATTCCAGGTAGAGCCGTTGATTCCATCAGTTATTTTAATGGATCTAGTCTTGATATTAACCAGGTGGTCTGATACAACAAATATTGTCTCAGCCTCTTATCAGTCATACTAAAGCACAACACAATTTTTCGATCGAGGAATATCGAGTCTCACAGTCAGTGAATTTCTTACTGAGATAGTAAATAGCTTGTTCTCTTTTTCCAGTTTCGTCATGTTGAGCCAATACACATCCCATTGACTTCTCAAAGACCTTCAAGTATAAGATCAATGGTTTATTTGGAATTGGTGGCATCAGGACTAGAGCATTAGTCAAGTAACTCTTAATTTTTTCGAAACATTCTTGGCAACTATTATCCCACTCTCCTAGGTTTTGCTTTCTTAGTAAACGGAAGATTGTATCATATTTCTCGGTTAACTAAGATATGAATCTGGCAATATAATTTAACCTCCCCAGAAGCCCTCATACTTCTTTTTATGTTCTAAGGTGTGGTAGTTCCAAGATTGCTTTGACTTTATTAGGATAAATCTCTATCATATTCTCACTGACTACAAATCTCAATAACTTCCCTGAAGTAGCTCCGAATGTGCACTTGGTTGGGTTAAGTTTGAGCTGGTATTTTCTTAATCTTAAAAACAACTTCCTTAATACCTTCACATGTTCTTCTGAGGTTTGTGATTTGGCAATCATATCATCCATATATACTTCTATCTCTTTGTGCATCATATCGTGAAACAAAGTAACCATGGCTCTTTGATATGTTGCCCCTACATTCTTGAGTCCAAATGACATCACCTTATAGTAAAATGTGCCCACATTGTCATAAACATTATCTTTTCCATGTATTAAGGGTCTATCTTAATTTGATTATACCCTGAGAAACCATCCATGAAGGAGAAAAAAGCATGACCATTTGTATTGTCAACTAAGGTGTCGATATGTGGGAGTGGGAAATTATCTTTGAGACTCGCTCAGTTGAGATCCCGATAGTCAACACACATCCGAACTTTTCCATCTTTCTTTAGGACTGGCACTATGTTTGCTACCCATTCAGGGTACTTGGCCACTTGTAAGAAACATACATCAATATTTTTTCACTTCTTCCGTTATCTTTAATAGCATATCCGGCCTTATCCTTTGAAGTTTTTGTTGAACATGCTTGCATTCTGGTTTTATCGGTAGCTTGTGTACCACAATGTCATTATCCAATCCTGGTATGTCCTGATAAGACCAGGAAAACACGTGTTTACATTCTCATAGAAGGCTTATAATATTCTCTCTTGTTTTTTGTGAGAGCGAAGTGCCAATTTTGACTTACTTTCTATCATTCTCTATTCCCAAATTTATTGTTTCAATTTCTCTTTATATGGCAATATTTGTCTTTCTTCTTGCTTCATCATTCTAACAAGTTCAGAGTTTAACTCACATTCCTCATTATCTTTATAACCCTCAGATTCTTCGAGACACATGTCATTTTCAAAATAAATCGGTGGTTTGGAAATATCATTATTCGAACAGTTGATATCTGAAGACTTACGAATGGAAAATGAGTATATTTGGATATGGACAAGAATTTTATTTAATATTTACCAAAAGAATAATTATCAATAAGGAATCAAGAGATTAAAGCATTAAATTAAATATTTGCTAAGAAGAGAATGAAGAGAAAACATCATTTCATTAAAGCAATGACAAATAACAATTCGTCTTTTACAAAATCCCTATTATATTTGGGTCAAAAAAGGAGACAAATTTGTTATTATGCATTAATTTGAAGAGTATTTATAGAACACGGGGAGTTATTCAACAGTATAGTTGTTCAAAACATAACCAGGAGGACACGAGCGAATTAATGCCAATGAGCACTCTCCAGTAGAATCATCTATGATAGCATTGATGCTCAGATTTCCCATCAAATCTTCAATTATTTCTATTTCTTCACCATGCCATGACTGCTTCAATGTGTCAGTCACAAATCCTCCAGACACAAAAGATTTGGAGAGTGGTGGTATGACCATGGGTTCCCAAACATAATATTTTCCCTATGCTCTTGCCTTCTTTCTTTCATTGAGTTTTTGTGCATCTATGACTCTATTAGGATAAGTTAGCCTGTATATGAGGCCAAAATAATTTCCTTTAGGAATTGGAGCCAACCCTTCAGTGATGCCTTGTAATTTCTTGCCTAGACATTTTCCTACTTTCGCTCCACTAGCTAATGTCTCTTTTAACTGCTTTTTTTTATTCTTTGAAAGCTGAAGAGTAAGAATTCTTTTGCCTTCAGGGATAAATGTGGCATTAACAAATTCCAAGGACTGGAATGAGGACTCTAATGCATTCTCATACCCCTACATATGGTGCATCAGTAGTGATTGAGGCAATGATGTCTTCTTCTACTTTGATGGTCACCAGAGTCCCATCAAAAATGAATCGGAGCTTTTGGTGAAGGGAATAAGGAACATCCCCAGCCATGTGAATCCAGGGCCTCCCTAGCAAGCAACTATAACTCGAATGGTTATCCATGACAACAAACTCTATTTCAAATATCGTAGGGCCAAATTTGAGCGGGATAATCATTTTCCACATTATTTTTCATTTTGTCCCATCGAACGCCCTTACGGTATTGCCACAAACCCTCATCTGAGAGGCATCTACAAGATGTCTATTCAGAGTAGAGAAAGGCATGAAATTCAAGGCTGACCCATTCTCAATTAACACCCTAGAGATGATGATCCCCTTGCAATGGGAAGTAATGTGTAGTACCTTGCATCTGTCCTTTCCTTCCTCCAAGTATCTCATCATCATAGAAGTAAATGAAATTATCTGCATTAATATGATATATCATCCTGTCCACGTGCTCCACTGGTATATCCTTCCCCATAAAATTTTCATTAAGCACTTTGATAAAAAAAATTCGATTTACTTCAAAATGTAATGGGGGAGATAACATCGAGATCCGTGTCGGGGTATTATGAAGTTGTTCTACAATATTATATTTGTTGTATTTCAGAAATTTTAAAAACTCCTGAGCCTCCTCAATCTTGACAGGTTCGTTTACTTTTTTCTCAGGATCTTCAATAACCATAACTCTTGCTTTATATGCTTTTCCAGGAGCATAGCATCTTCCACTCCTGGTGAAAAATCCAACTTCATCAATATCTTCCTCTTTACTCTCAGGAGTATTAATTTTGCATGTATAATCCCAGGGAACACTCTTGTTACTCTTGTAGGCAAAAGGCATCGGGGTTTTGATCACCACCCTGGATGTTGTACTTCCACCGCTTGCCTCATAGTTTAGTTTGGATATGACCAGGACAAGCTTTATTAATTTCTTTTCCACATCTCCTGAACTTTCTTCAGAAGCGTAGATATATCTTTTATTCTCGATCATCCCTTATTCATAGAACTACAACTCCTGCTTGTCCATCAATTCTTGGACCATCTGCCTGAATTCTTGACAGTATTGAATTTGATGACCATTTTCACCATGGTACTCATAGAAATTATGTCTTTCCTGTTGAACATTTCTTTATAGGGCTCAACAACCCTCTCTTCTTCATTTCAACATATACCTACTTCAGTACTTCAGTGGCATTCTAACTTCTTCAACCCTCCTTTAAATTATTCGATTATCCTCAATAGCGTTCACTCCCTGGTTCTGATGATTCAAAAGTGAGTTTGCATCTACACAAGGTGTCTCTGAGTCATTGAATGACATTATTTTTCTCTTAATCATATCCTCATCCACTCTTTTAAAAAAGAGACACTTCTCAATATTATGCCCTTGGAGATTTCCATGATATTCACATGTCTCATTTTCGTCGAACCATTTTGGATAAAGTGGTTTAATTGGATCAATAAATCTTGGTGACACTATGTGAGCATAGACTATTCCATAGAAAAGCTCAGTGTATGTCATTGGTATGGGAGTGAATATTATTCTCTCGGTATTATGCTTGCGCTTAGTTTCTCCTTGCGATGAAGAATTTCCCGTCTTCGTCTTATTCACAGAGAAATTTACATTATTCACATCTCCTTTCTTTTTCACATAGGGTTTCTTTACAGGAGTTTGGATATCAACAATCTGCTCCTTCTTTAGTGCTCTATTGATCATCTCACCACACATCATGAAAACAGAGAAATTCTTATTCTCCACTCCTAACATATGATCAATATATGGAGATTTTAACGTATCTATAAACATTGTTATAAACTCCCTCTCAATAAGTGGTGGTTACCCTTTAGTGGCAATATCCCTACAGCGCTGAGCGTATTGACGAAAAGTCTCGTTATGCTTCATCTCCATGTTTTGGATAGTAACAAGATCAGGCATCATGTCGGTAACGTGTTGGTATTGTTCTTTAAGCGCATTGGCCAAATACTTATAGGACCCTATTTTAGTTCGGGTTAATTAGTTATATCATTTGATAGCTGACCCTATCAAGCTGGCCTGAAAGCAGTGAATTAGTAGTTTATCATCCTTCACAAATCCCGTCATTCTTCGACAAAACATGGTCAAGTGAGAAACATGACACGTTTTTCCATCATACTTCTCAAATTTCGACATTTTGAACTTTGGTGGTAAGATTAGGTCTGGCACTAGACTCAATTCCTTTGTATCAATTCCGTCTTGAGAACCCTTCTTTCTCATCTCTTTAAAAACCCTTTACACTAGTCCTTTAAATGTTCTGGTACATCAGTTTAGATTTCTCTGTTTCCTCAGGATCTATATCAATATACTCATGGGGACTATTTTGAGGCCTACTAGTGGTCATCTGAACTTTTATTGCTGAAGACCCTGCAGGGTGCTCAACAAGCTTTTCAGGTGAGATAATTAGTCTCGGGGTAGACTCTTTCCCAGAATCTTCAACCGAAGTGGTACTTGGTTCTTTAGTTGTTTCAGTATGTAACCCAAACATTTTGGTCATCATATCATTCATTATAATAGCTTGACTTTGCAAGATTTAATCTATAATTGTATTTTGTGACTGTTCCATTTTCGTCTGCCAATCTTGTTGTATTCTTAGTAAATCTTCTTTTTCTTTTTTTAATTGCTCAAGCTTGGCATCCATGGTTTTACTTCGTGTGCGATGAGGATTGATGTTTTTACTTGCAAGAATCGTCTGTCACATAACCCTTCAAAAATTAATTGCGTTGTTCTTTTAAATTTGAATGCATGTTATTGCTAATGCGTTATAAATGATGCATTTTATTGGTGATGCATTATAAATGATGAATTTATTTATGCATAATGAATGATGCAAGTGCAAAAATGCAAATAAAAGGCGTTAACCTCAGCAGTAATCATTTGGAAATAACTTTCATTGGATAAAAAGTTCCACTCATTACAAAGGAGTTTGTTTACAGAAAAGGCCTAGCCCTCATACTTAGATCTACAATTTTGTTCATAATAGAAATGATCTCCCTTGCATACTCAGAAACCAGATTTGTTCGCAGTTAGATGATCTTAGCTCTATTAGCTAATTCATTCATATACCGAGCAACTCCACCCATTTGAGCTATAGCTTCACCCATCATGTGCTCACGTTCTTCTACCTAAGATCGGTAATACTCATATGTATTTTTCCATCCCTTATTAATGCATTTGATCCCTTTTTCTAGGTTGGTTATTTGAATTTGGCATTGCTGGAGTTTGCCTTTCAATTCACTAATTTCTTTTTGGAAGGCCTTATTTTTTTCGAGAGCAACTCTTAAGTCCATTGAAGCGGGAGGAACTTGCACTTGAAACAGAGATTGCTCAAGGTTGGATACATGACTTTTGAGTTCATCATTCATAGCTCGAGATTGGATTAGCTCTTCCTCAAATCGTATATGCAATTCTCCCATTTCTCCCGTGAGCTCATCTACTTGCTGACTTTTTGTATAGAATCATTGCAACCACGATCCAATCTCTGCCTGCTTTCTATCAAGGATTCGATTCCATCCCTGTCTTTCGGACCACATCTCATCCTTCTTTCACTTTCTTTCTTCTTCGAGCTTTGTAATTCTTCGATCTCTATCCTCAAAATTCTCAATTATGATGTTCATCTTAATTTTTAACCCATGGACTGGACTTTTCTCCTCTTCTAAATCTTTCAGGTTGATTTCCTTCTCCTATTGGAGTTTTTGAGCTCTAAGAGCCTCAGCTTTATACTGCTTGATCAATTCATTTTTATCAACCTCTAGCTCTTCTACTTTTCCTTTACTAGCTTTTATCTTTTTGACCTGACACTTATTCTCGACCTCAATACTTAATTCATCGATTTGCAACTCCTAATTCTCTGTTCCACTAATTTGGCACTTTACTCGACCCAAATCCCCTTCTCGCTTGTTGCATCCTTTGATAATCCTTTTTTAGGTCTTCTAGGTCAGCTTCCACTCCCTCTTTCCTTTTCCTTATCATTACAAACTGTCTGGAATGAAACTCAGCATCGAGAGATAACATAAAATTTTCTCTCTCCATCTCTTATATTTTCTTGGAATCTTTAGCCTTTTCTATCTCAAACTTGCTTCACTGGATTTCCATGTTCAAAGGGATATTTCTAATTTGTTCTTCCATCAACCTTGATCCCTCTCCCGATGCTAAAGGGATTTTGTCATTTACCCTTTGGATTCTCCAGGCTTCATAATCGGGTGTTAATATAACATCCGCTCCAACTACCTTGGTCCTGAAAGTCAACTTCCAAGAATCAACTACATCATTGACTTTATTCCTATAATTGACTTCTTTATAATCAAATTCAGCACCAGCCAGCCCATGAGTCACGGGAACAAACTGTCGAGTACCGTACTCTCTCAAGACTAATAAATGAGCGTATCTGACTCCTCCCCACAGTCCCATTAGTATGATCCAGTCCAAATCTCCACATTTGAACAAAATCTTTGTGTGCATCAACCATGGAGTTCTACATGCTATGTTTTGACCCTGTAGATTCATGAAGAATTCAATCCACTGATCTTTCTGTGATGCTTCAGGCCACTTCTTCATAAGGTATTTAGCAATGGGAGAATAATTTTTCAAAAAGTGATTATAGTTGACTTTTCTTCCTTCCAGAAATGACTTTTGATCCATACGGTAAGCATCTGAGCATATCCCATAAAACGACGTCCACCCAGTCTTCTACAGATATTCAAAGATCAGAAAGTCTCAGCTAGAATCGCATGAACTGGATTCATTTCCCTTTTCAACTTCTCAACCAAGTCAACTACTGCTAACTCGATCAGCCCCAAGCACTTGGTAAAAATTATCAAACCATATATACCCAAAGCAAACACATCTCTCTGTATATTTTCATCTACGTGTGCTTCGATTATCTTTTGTAGGTGTGACCATGGAACTCCCTTACTTTCTCCCTTTTTTTGCAAATGATCATTTACCTATTTGTCGCTCGTGCCCGAAATATTTGAAAGCTTTGATTTAAATGAAGGCCCTTTTATCGATCGATAGTAGATTTTATCCATTTTAACACTTGGAAAATTCAACAGAAAGTGGTATTCCTCAAGGGTCGAAGTCACCTGTATGTTGAAGTTGAAACAGCTATAGGCTGGATTCCAAAACTGTATCAGACTTTGAATGAGGACTTAGTCTACCTTAACATATATAAGATGAAATATATCCCTATAAGTCTGTTGAAAAGCTTGTCTCTCAATAAGATTCCAACTTTCCCAATTCGTCTTCAATCCCTAAAGCTCATTCTTCTTTAAGAAGACTGGTGTATAATCGGACAACTCTAACACGTAGTTCCCAGGGAGGTTATCCCCTCGCTCTTTCTGCTTGGCATCGGACCAATTCCTTAAATCTGTCGAATTCACTTCTTTGTTTAGGAAACTCCTTTCAATCATGAAAGTCTTTCCACTTTATCGATACTCACAGATCAATCACCTTTTCTAATGATATGTATATGCAATATGAAGAAAAAAAAATAACAAAACAAAACAAAACAAACAAAACAATTAGTCAAAACAAACCCGAATAAAATTCATCAAAAAGGGTTCTACCCAAACATGCTCTATACCCTCTTAAATTTATTTAATTAAACCATAACTGCACATAAATTCTATTTCACATTTTTTATTCAAACATAATGAATATATTTTACATATTTTGAAAATAAATAAATAAATAAATAAAATGTTAGAGTAGGCTTCTCCTTTGTGTACACCTATTTTGGGTACCTACTGATGGACAGAGGTTCGGTATGTTATACCTAGGGAAACAGTTCTAAGGTTCTCTATATGTATGGTTTCGGCTCTAACAGAAAAGGTACTCAAATTATCCTTAATGTTGGTGCCCCTTGGGCTGCCAAACCCTCATTCCTAACCCATTACAAGCATAAACGAATCGAGTTTAATTCGAGGGAATCCACTTCCTTATATCTATATGAGAAATAAATTACTACGAAGATATAAGGAATGTGTATCCCGAAGGTTACTTGCTAAAACTCATACGAAGAATAAATTCTTATGAGAGCAAAGCGTTCACCCAACTTACTTGGAACGAAGCTCGAGTTTAGAGCTTATGTTATGCGAATGGTCATGATGTGTGTGAGGAGAAACATACAAACCTTTGACTCAAAAACCAATAAAAAAACTAACAAACTTCAAT